GCAAGCTACATAGTACAATTTCAAATCAGGAAGACCCAAACCACCTCTTTCTTTCACATCTTGCAAAACTTTATATTTTATTCTTCGTTTTTTCCCTTGCCATATAAACTTAGAAATGTCGCGTTGCCATTGTTTAAAGGGTGCCTTGTTGTATGATTCTGATAGGGTACAGTCCAGCTGCTCCTGGGATGATGTTGACCGTTTTCAGTTGTGCTAGCTTTTCATGTTGTTTTTGTGATTCCACTGTCTGAAGTCTACTTGACTTTGTGATAGCCCCAGGGGCTTCCCTCTCTATGCCAATACACTCCCTCTTGAATACCTAATCTGCTCTGTCAGAACTGATAACAGCCCCTTCTCCAATGGGAGATGGTTTTACAGGTGAAAGTGCCCACATGATTGCAGGTCCCACACTCCCACTCTCCTCCCCCACAGCTCCTCCTTGGAGGACACAAGACTGGAGTCAGGTCATCCTCGTCCCTTCAGGAGTAGGATGGGACTGGCAGATCAAGGGAAGGGGTGGAAGGCATAATCTTTTGAACCATCATCTGGGCAACTCATTGCTTAGCCACATCAACCTACAGGACCCCAAAGTCCATTTGGCAGGGATGGTTCTGCTCAATTTGCACTCAGGCTGCCCCCAGGAGTCTTGAGTCAAAAGGAGCCCCACTGTAACCACCTCTCCTCCCATGAAAGGTATCCAGTATATTTGTCCACTACCCTGTGCACAGTATGACCACTCTACTTTGGCCACTCTTTGCTGGACAGACAGGGTTACCTGTCCCACAAGTGGACCATGAGCCCCAGCTGGTTCCCCAGGGGTGTGCTCCTCCCCTGTACCATTTCCTTACCTTGTGTTCTCTCCCAAGGGACTACCAGCTAGTGCTTACCCCCTCTTGACTTCTCAGCTGTCTGCCTCCTCCGAAGACGTGTGGGTGAACTCACCGTGCTGGCTGTCGCATGTTCTGCGACTGAGGCAAGCTGATCCAAGCCCTGAGGGGTGCCAGGCTGTGATCCCAGATGAGTCCCCAAATTGTTGCCTAGAAACTCAGGCACCCCAAGTTGCATGGAGCTGAAGGAACCTATTTCCCTGAATTTGGGAGAGAAAAACACTTTTACCTTTTGCAAAAATGGCTTTTTTGCCCCTATACAACAATACGAATCATGAGTATTTCAGGCAAAGCAAAAAGCGTTTATCAAGGGGGGGGGGTCGAGTCTTTTTATAGGGTACAGAAACAAATGATACATACATTTGGTTTATGTGATACATCAGAAAATAGTTAATCAAACAATAAAAGACATTGATTATAGATAACATTCCACAAGGGGCAAATTTATGGGTTACATCACTCCCTTTCTGGTGTATTGCAGGAAATTAAAATGGTGATTATTCTGAGCGGACTGGCATTGCTGTCTTTACCATCAACCTGCTTACCGGAGGCCAATCAGAGTGTATTTCACATAAGACTCCCTCATACATAATTACTGTATGACTGTTGTCCTTCCAACTATAGGCACTTGTGCTGGTAGCAGTTATCACGTTTCCTTAAAAACACTCATTGCAGCATTTGTCAATCCCACCATGCTTCACAGGACCCTTTTGGGCATAGGCCCTGCTTTGAACCTGGCCTTATAATTAGTCCTTTAGCAGGAGTTTTTCATGAAAAAAAAATCACAAGGCACGCAGCTAATTTGGGCTGCAGTCAGAGAAGCCGCAGGTCAGGGGGATTCTACCGTTCAGACCCATATTGTGACCTAGCCCAAGTTAGGGGCATTGGGCCTCAATTCCCATAGTCTCCCCGCCAGCAAGGGGATTTATGGGAGTTAGCATCCAAAACATCTGGAGGGGAGCATATATTCCCAGCTTTCCAAAGCGAAGGGACACTCTAGTCCAGCCTCCAGGAATAAAACTGTTAGCAACATTTGAGAGTTTCTGACCCCCCAATTAGGATTCAGTCCGGCAGAAGATAAGACACGAAAGTACAAGTTGAGATTTAAAAGTTTTATTAAAAGCCTGCCAATAGAGTCAGCTGGGGTCTCCCCTTAAGACAGAGAAGAGCCCC